CCCGCTCGTCCCACAGGAGGGCCTTAAGGTGAGAGTAGAGAGGACAGGAGAGAGGGAGGGGGCTAGAGGTGGGCCTGAGGGGCAGTTGCAAGTGTCAGAGGGAAGGCGAGGAAAGCAGGAAGGGGTTGTTCCGGCTGCACCTCCGGGCATGGCCAGGTGTGGACACAGACTCAGAGCCCTGGGAGCCCAGAGAGAAGGCGGCAGTGGCCCAGGGAGCCTGGAGCCCAGCAGCTGGGGCTCTGAAACTGTGTGGCGTGTGACAGACAGAAACAAGGCGACCGTACTAGAAGGCTGGGACCCCATGGCCCAGAAGGTGGGACAGGGCGCCTGGACCACACTGGCTCCCAGGAGCCGGAGTCCGGCCACACGGTTCCCAAGTCCCCCACGGTCACTGAGCCCTTCTTCTGCTGGGCCCAGGGCTGAGTGCCTTCATCCCGCGACGGCTCCAGGACGTAAGTGCTGCTGTCATCCCTCTCCCACAGATGGGGACGCCGAGGCTCAGGACGTAACTTGCCCAAGGCCACAAAGCTGGTAAGTGGTGGGAGAGAGCTGGATGAGCTGATCTGACTCCGCGCTGGGCTCCCAGCCTCTCTGCTCCCCCACAGCCAGGGTGGCAGTGCTGGGCGGCTGTGAGGACAGACTGAGGCCAACACGGCGACCCAGGGGAGGACGCCTGGGCCTCTCGGAATTTCTGGGCCACTCTGGGTAGTAGCCAGTGGAGAGGGACAAGAAGGCCCCTCACTGCGCACAGGCCAGGCCTGAAGCCAACCCTTACTGGGGTAGCCGGGCTGAGATATGATCAAGAATCCATGAAATGGGCGCCTGGGGGATAGTCAGACCGGTGCAGGCACAGCACGCAGGCTACCAACCGCCGACTGGTGGAGACGGCGCTCGGGACTGCTGTGCGGGTTCTCGCCTCACGACGCTGCCCGGCTGAGGGAACAGGGGCTGAAATCCAGCCTGTCCTCCCGTTGCCAAATTCCAGGGTGCAGCTGCCTCTGGCCAGAGAAACGGGTTTGCAGTCACTAGGTACCCTGACACTACAATCTATCGGATAGACTCGGGGCCAGATAAGGTCCCTGCAGGCAGGAACAGCTGGGGCTGTCTGGGTGGTTCTTAGGCACGCCTCTGTCTGGGAGGGAGACAAAAAGCTCCCCCTAGCTTTTCCTATCTAAGCATAGGGGACCTGCTGGGACACCACTTGCATGTATGTTCCCACATATGGACACGTGGGATGGACACGTGAGCTGGTCACAAGTACTGCAGGGTCAAGCCTGGCCCCACAACCCCAGTGGGAGCAGGGTGGAGGGCTAGGCTAGACACACCCTGTGCTAGGACTGTCTACATACTTCCTAAGATGGCAGCCGGTCTCCGTCCATCCAGGTATTGTCACCACGACCAGATGCCTGACCCGGAAGGCCTGCAGAGGTCCATGCCCAGGGTAGGGGTGCATTGGACCCCTCGTGTGTGGTGCCTGGTGTCCCCTCAGCCCATTGTCTCCCTAGCCATTGCTGCAGCAGCCGGCTCCCTGCAGCAATGGGGCAGGGGCAGCCCCACAGCCCCTGGCCTCAGTGGCCCTGCAGAGAGCTCCCTGTCTTCCAGGGAGCATCCCAGATGCCCTCGGCTTGGCTGGCCCAGGACACCCTGCCTGTACTCCTGCTGTGCAACCTGGACAACCCGAGAGGCTCGCCTTGACCAAGGGGGCAGCGGCTGGTAGAGAAATGTTCCCTCCTCCCTCTGCTTTCTCACTCCTCACCTGCTCCAGGTCTTCCTGAGATGCACTACCTGCACACAAGCCCTTGTCTTAGGGGCTGCTTTCTGGGGAGAGCCCAGTTAGACAGCGGAGCAGGGAGGAACCCTGGCTTGCTGCCCCCGGCTTGCTCTTTCCTGGAGGGAAGTGTAATAGCACAGTGGCTGTCACTCAGTCACTGCCTGCATGCCAGGTGCCATGCAAAGCCCTCCACTTGCATCATTTCACGTCTTCCTCCCAAAGCCCTCTGCAGCACAGGCTGTCATCCATTTTTCAAAGAAACTGAGGCTCAGGGAGGTCAATAACCCTGGCAAAGCCACATGAGGCTCAGCTCTTACTCCAAACCGGTAAATTTAACCACCCCTTCTTGCCTCCAGGTGAGCACCAAGCTGGCAAGATGGCAGGGCGGGGAACCCGGGGCCTGACCAGGGCTGTTCTGATCATCCTGCTGCTTCCCGGAAGTGAGTGTGGCCAAGGGTGGGGGACGATGGGGAGGGGAGTTACAAGGAGAGATATCAGGGAGGGGGAGGAAATCCTCCCCCAGGTAATCCCAAGAGGCTCAAGACTGAGGCCCAGATGTGAGGGGTCCGGGCCGCCCCAGAGGAATGGTGAGAGCACCTAGGCTGGTCAGCTTGGAAAAGGGTGGGGGCGCCCTGCTTGTCTCTGCCAGGCTGTCAGAAGGAACCCCTGGAGGTCCTGAGCAAGCTCGGTGGGCAGAGACCCAGGTGGAAGCCACAGGAGTCAGGCTGGACCCTGCAATCAGGAAGCCGGCCAGAGCTCTCAGTGGAACTCTCCAGAAGTATGCAGAAGAAGGCCAGGAGTGACAGGGGTGCTGCACAGCAGGGGGCGATGACATTCAGGCTTTGCAGGCCACATCCAATCTCTGCTGCTTGTTTGTTTGTTTTTAACCCTTGAAAATGTAAAAACTGTTCTTAGCGAGCAGGACACACAAAAACAGGCCGCCCAAGCCCTGACGTAGGGAACACAGCATCAGGTGGAGTTTGGAAGTGAGCAGCCTTGTCAAGTTCTCTCTAGTCTGAAACTTTGAGTCTGTGAAGCTCTAGGACCCCCATGGCGAGGATCAGGAACTTGCTTCTCCTCGTAGGGCCTCAGTAGCCCTATCAGTAAAATGGGTCTAACACCTGCGAGAAGAAAAAAGGCATCATGGGTAAAGTGCATGTTTACTTGTTTATTCACCCAAAAAGTATATGCCAAGGGCCTACTTTATGCCAAGTATTGGGAATACAGAATGAACAGAACAGTCAAGGCCTCTAGCCTCACGGAACTCAGAGACCAGTCTAGGAAACGGATAGACAAATGGTCTCAAGAGTCTATAATTACGAAGGGCAATAAGAGCTTTGGAAAATACAGGGGACTTGGCCTGGTCTGGCTAGCCAAGGCCTGGTCTGCTTCCCCGAAGGATGCCCAAGAGGAGTGAGAGAGTGGAAAACAAGCATCTCAAAAGGAAGACCAGGGGCAAAGACCCCGACATTAGGGAGATGGGGGAGTACCAGGGGCAGCACCTTCAAGGCAGAGTGGCTGCAGGTGCAAGAGTGGTTTGAGCTGGAACTAAGAGGATTCATCGGGCCGAGACACAGAGGCCATGTGAAGGGTTTGAGTCTTAATCCTGATGATAATAGCAAATACTTGCTGGCCAGGCACCATTCCGAGTGCCTTATCGATGTTACACTTGAACCCGTCCAGCGAAGCCCCGTGTGTTACTAATAACAGAAACGCCTGAGTCTGGGTCATTGCTAAAGAATGGAGGTTTAGGGCCAGCCAGAGGGCAATGTGGTTAAGGTGGCTGGATCTGCATGGCCTGAGTCCTAGGCCCCGGAGCCTGAAACACACACTGGCCATGTGTGCATGCGTCCCCACAATCCTGAGAGTGGAGAAGGGACTATGGTATGGCCATCCCCCCGGGAGTGCTTTCTGATCTTCTCTCTCCCTCCAGTGAATATATGGCCCTATGGCAAAATTCAAATAAACAAGTAACAGAAACCACAGCCTACGTAGTGGATGAACAGAGGTTTACTCAGCTCATGGTTTTGGAGGGCTGTGTCTGGCAAGGCTTCGGGCTGGTGGGGTCCCAAGCTGAGCAGAGGATGTCTGTGCTCCTGTCTCTGTCTCATTCCCTGTCCTCACAAACCTACCCTGATGACCTTAACCCTAAAAGCCACACTTCTTTGTTTTTCCCAGAAGACGTGTGTGCTCACTAGAAAGACAGAGGAAGCAGCCCCCGGTGGGGCATGGTCACACTGCAATCTCTTCTCCTCCATTTCTCCATCTTGTTGAGTTTGCGGCACACATACACACGTGCTTATCATGTTTTTCAAGACACCAGGGCTGGGATTGGAACTGCAATTGATCTGGCTCCTTTAACCAGGAGGCTGCCGGCCAGCCTGGCTCCATCCCTCATCCCATAGTGGGATTAAGTTTCCTGGTAATGCTTTCACAGTACTAACAACCCCAGAGCATGAACTCTTGGGGGACACAGCAAAGACTTAAGTCGGGACCATTTTTATCCCCATTTTACAGGCAGGACAACTGGGGTACAGGAAGTCTCGGTGACATACCAGGGTACATAATTAGCAAGCAGCTGAGCCGGGGTTTAAACCCAGGCCGTCTAGTTCCACTGTCCATGCTCTTATTCTTCATGCCACGCTGTGTTGTGGAGCGATAATGTGCCACTGAAGTGCTGTGATTGGGATGGGGTAACACAATCAGATCAGGGTTTTGAAAAGACTGCTGTGGCTGCAGGATTCTTATCATTCTAGTCATTGCTTTCGCCACCTCTCCGAAGGGCGAGGGCGGAGGGCGCTGGGGAGGGGACTGATCACTATCTGGTGGTGTGCTGGAACTGGTTGGCAAGAGCTGACTCTTCCCAACTCTGCTTCAGCCATGTCCGTGATGTCCGTGGGTGACCTGAAATCAACCACGGCAAGCGTATTTACACCACGGCGAGCGGTCCTCCACTCGGTCTGTTTTTCTCTGCAGAGATGGTTGATGAGCACTGAGTGCACACCACTGTCTGCCTTATCCCTTTACACATCCTTCCCATTCTGGGAGGTGGGAGGGAGAAGGGAGCCTCTCTGTTCTTCCTCTGCTCACAGGGCAAGACAAGAAGGCGAGGGCCCTCATTCACAGCCTTCTCTTTCACCCTAGGCCTGGAGGAGTGCGGGCACATCAGCCTCCCCATCCCCATCGTCCGCCTGGGAGATCCCATCACAGCCTCCTGCACCGTCAGCCGGAACTGCAACCACCAGGGCCTGAAGCCACAGATTCAGTGGAAACTGGGAGCAGAACTGCAGCCCGGGGGGAAGCAGCAGGGCCTGCCCGATGGGACCCAGACATCTACCATCACCCTGCCCCACCTCAACCACACTCAGGCCTTTCTCTCCTGCTGCCTGTACTGGGGCGACAGCCTGCAGATCCTGGACCAGGCTGAGCTGCGGGCAGGCTGTAAGTCCCTCCAGCCGTCCACCCACTCTGTCTCCAAAGCCCTCCTGCCAATACTAATAACAGCTATCACCTACTGGGCTCTCGCTCCATAAGCACTCATCGGACACAAATCGGGTCATCTTGCCCGCCAGTGGGTACTACTATTTAGCCCCATTTTGCAGATACGGAAACTGAGGTTCGGGGAAGGTAAGTGACTTGCTAAAGGCAACTCACGAAAAAGGATGGAGCCAAGATTGACATCGGACGGCGTGACCCTAAAGTCAGGGTGCTGACCGCCCCTCACCTGAGCCGTGCAGCAAGCCCAGCTCCTCGGCCGTAGCTGGGTGCCTCCGTGAAGGGCACTTTCTACCAGCTGGGCTTACTCCCAGCTCTCCCCATCCCAGTCTTGGCCGTCTTTTCTTTTTCTTCTTTATCTTTTCTATTACCAGAGGGTGTGTGCATTCACCAGAGAGAGGGGGGAAGGAAGCACCCTCTAATGGGGTGCAGTCCGGGATTCAAACCACAGTCAGCCATACAGGATCTGGCTCCCTTACCCTCTAGGTTATAAAGCTGGCCCCAGTCTTCCTTTTAAACTAAGCAGGACGGAGTTTGTGCCAAGCTGAGGCATAAGGAAAAATAAAGACCAAGATTCTTGTTTAGCCATCAGTAATGGTCGCGGGTGTGACCTCTTGCCGCGTGTAACCTCTTGCCGCGTCCCAGGCTGTGTACTGGGCACTTTGTGGACAGTAGGTCACTCGGTCCTCACGATTACCACAGGGGGCCATTTTACAGAAAAGACACTGAGGCACAGAGCAGTCGGAGCAGAGCCAGACCCTACGCTGTTGCTAACAAGGGTCTGGGTGGGGGAGCTGGAGGTGGGAGTCACCACAGCTGGGGGTCTGGCACACTCGCTCCTGTATGTACCTGTAACTTGGCTTCCCCCAGGCGTGTCCCTCCAAGGCCTCTCTCCACAAGGTGACCCCAGAGGGACCAGCCCAGGGCAAAGAGATGAAGCCATCTGGTCCCGATAGAAGCTTGCTGAGTGGTCCCACTAGCAAGGTGACCCCAGAGGGACCAGCCCAGGGCAAGGAGATGAGGCCATCTGGTCCCAGTAGGAGCTGCCGAGTGGTCCCACTCTTTCCACCGCATGCGCAGACCCTCCCGCCATACCCGACAACCTGACGTGCCTCATGAACCTCACGACTAACAGCCTCACCTGCCAGTGGGAGCCAGGACCAGAAACCCACCTGCCTACCAACTTCACCCTAAAGAGCTTCAGGTGAGTAGGGGCTGTGCCCCAGCCCCTTCTCTGAGGCCCTAGTGCGGGGCACAGGTTGCACTGTGGGGACAGGGCACAGAGGCGTAGGTGGGAGGGAGGAGGAAACCTCACTTCCTCCCTCTGCACCCCTCCTGGCCTGTTGGTAGGAGCCGGGACAATTGTCAGACCCAGGAGGACGCCATCCCGGACTGCGTGCCCGAGGGCGGGCAGAGCCGCTGCTCCATCCCACGCAAACACCTGCTGCTGTACCAGAACATGGGCGTCTGGGTGCAGGCAGAGAACGCACTGGGGACCAGCGTGTCCGCACAGCTGTGCCTGGAGCCCATGGACGTTGGTGGGTGATGCTGGGGGTGGGGCAGGGGAGAGGCCCCCAAATGGGCAGACCCAGACAGGCACAGACCCAGTGACAGCAAGGACATGAGGGCAGGCCTAGATGGAGGCAGGGACAAGGCGGATGCAGCTAGACACAGAAATGGGGACCCAGACCCAGGGACACGGAAGAAACCCAGGTAAGGAAAGGCAGTCATTCGTTCCTTCAGCAAACGTCCATTTCTTTCTTAAGTGTATTTATTCATGAATGAGAGAGACAGCCGCCCCGACGGGGTCTTGGCACTGTGGTCCACCCACAGCTTCAGCCTGGCCTGGATCACAGGCATGAACCTGCGAGCGCACTCGGGGAGGGCCCCGGCACAAACATGCCCCCATGTGGTCGGCGTCACAGCCCCTCACCACCTTGGCAAAGTGCCCACAGTGCCCACTATGGACCAGGCACCGTCCTGAGCACCGAGGGAACGGCAGTGGACAAAGCCTCAAAAATCCTGCCCTCGGAGTGGCACATTCTGGTGGGCAAAATGAATAAGAGAGCATCTGACAACAACGAAGTAGAGGGAGAGATTCAAAGAGGGGAGGGGACAGCATGGCGGGGTGGGGCATTTTAGCAGGGCCGTCAGGGAAGACCCCACTAAGAAGGTAGTGACTGAGCAGCCCCTGGAGGAAGCCCCTGGCTACTAGGGAGCAAGTACTCTAAGCAGAGGTAACAGCTGGAGCAAAGGCCCTGGGGCCGGAGCATGAACAGAAGCCTAGAGAGACAGGCATGTGCCCGGAGGCCGAGGCGCAGACCGTGGACAAGGATGAAAAGACGGATGGAGAGGCAGGCAGAGACAGAGTCAGAGACCACAGGGATGGAGACCCAGAGAGGCAAACAGAACCACAGACCGGGGGACGTGCAGGAGCTAAGACTCAGCCCTGTGGGGTAGGGCACGAAGGATCCAGACACCCCCCATCCCTTGCAGTGAAACTGGAGCCCCCCAGGCTGTGGGCCCTGGACCCACGCCAGGAGCCGAGCCCACCCCAACCAGGCTGCCTGTGGCTCGGCTGGGAGCCGTGGAAGCAGAGCTTGTATGTGGAACAGAAGTGTGAGCTGCGTCACCAGCCGCGGCTTGGAGAGGCCAGCTGGGTGCTGGTGAGGTGGAGGGCAACCTCGGGAGCCTGAGGGGTGGTGGCAGAGGGAAGGGTAGCTGGGCCCAGAGATCTGGGCTCAGGATCGTGCCCCTTGCCATCAGGTGGAACCCCTGCCCTCCAAGACCCTCGAGTATGAGCTCTGCGGGCTCCTCCCAGCCACAGTCTACACCCTGCAGATGCGCTGCACCCGCTGGCCCCTGCCCGGTTACTGGAGCAACTGGAGCCCCAGCCTGGAGCTGAGGACCACTGAACAGGGCAAGCGGGTGGTAGGGGGCCAGGGGAAGCTGCCAGCACCCACCCAGTCCAGCCCCCAAGACCTCCCTGACTGATCCCCCTCAATCCACTCACAGCCCCCAATGTCAGACTGGATGTGTGGTGGCAGCAGAGGCAGCTGGACCCCAGGATAGTGGACGTGCAGCTGTTCTGGAAGGTGACTCCTCCTAAAGGCCACCCTTCCCCCACTGCACCCTCCTCTGACCCAGGCAGGACCCTGCAGGCTGGAGCCCGGGAGCCCAGTGGGTCTGGGAGGCCAGGACACACTTACGTGTGCCTTGCACGCACATCACCTGTGCCTGGGGGCTGATCATGGCCTCGCACAGAGGACACAACGCAGGACTCTCCTCTGCCCCAGAGGGTGGACTCAGCAGAGTTAGCTGCCCACCATGGGCACCAACTTGCTTCTTCCCTTCCTAGAACCTGGCACAAGGGAACGGGGTGGGGGGAGGGGAGGGGGGAGAGGCCTGGGGG